GCGGGACAAAGAAAACCTGGAGCGAAAGCTCAACGATATGAACAAAGAAAAGGAGAACTTGCTTGCCAAGTTGAAAAATATGTCGAACGACAAGGCGAAACTCGCCCAGAGTCTCGACACAAAAGTATGTTTCGCTTGAAATGTCAATGCACTCCTAAATTTCACTGTTGATTTTTTGATCGCAGACCTCAGAAGTGTTCCAAATGGTGAAAGAAGCCGAGCGATTGAAAGAGGAGATCGTGAGCCGAGATGTGAAGATCAAGTGGGGGCAGAACAAGCTGAAATCTGAAATGGACGGGCATCAGGTATATTTTTCAACAATAATGTTCTGCTGTACCCTAATTAATGAACGACTTGTACCATAAATTTTTTAAGGCCTTAAAAAGGAAATGGGTTGTCATACATTTTTCACGTTGACAATCGACCCTGTGAACGAGATCATCAGTGATGCAAAATGCCGATCAGTGATTGTATTCAAGAAAAATTTATCTAAATCTGTAATTTTAAATGTAGTACGTTAGAAAAAAAGAAGGAAATTATTTTTTGTTGAGTCAGCATTTTTCAGTTTTGTGTACCGGCCAGCATTGGTGATAACGCGGTGTCAAACTGATGCCGATTAAGAAAACCTCATTATACTGTCCTGGCACTTTGCTGCTGTTGCTGAAAAAGATTCTGCGTAAATTAATCCGTGATATATTGAGTTCTTGCTTGAAAAAGTAAATCCATGACTTGGAAAGGTTTGTTATGCAGGAAATTTGTTGTGTTAATCATGATTTCCCCGAAAAAAAAAAACAATTTAAAAATGTTGCATTCGTTCCAGACAAAAAAATGTGTATCTGTAAAACAAGTTCATGTTTAACTCGAGCATAACCTACTTAATATTATTATTTAGTAAGTGAATAATCTTTTTGTAGGAAACAAAGTTGCAGCTAGAAAAAAGCTACCGCCAACTGCAGGACCTTCGGGACGAAGCGAACCAGGTTCGTGTGGATTGCCAGAACCTGT